ACGACGTGCCGATAGAGGGAGGCAATATGCTGCATCGATGCGGCCATTCACTTTAATCAAACCATCGATGTCTAAAAACGGCGTAAGTTGGTATAACGGGCTCGACTTCGACACTTTTTGCTTGGAGCGCAACTCTTCTAATTCGTTAGGAAAGACCTCTTCCTGAACGCGGCGACATACGAAGACTTCTGAGTCAGTGATCTCAAATGCTTTTAGCTCTCCTGAATGGCGAATACGGTTTCTTGCGTTAAAGTTGAATCATAACACCCAGCTCGTTACCCTAAGTAACTTAAAAAAAGGCGAAAATTTTTTAAAATTAATGACATACTCATCTGTTGTTGAGGTGAGAAGCATGATTTTATTCTCCTCGGTAGCACATTCTGTTGACGTAAGTGGCGTAACTTCTTTTGGCCACTCGGATTCTGGGAGTTGCAGAAAGGTAGGCCCCTTGAACCAGCGGTTTCGTGTATCGGATTCTGTCATGGGCTGACCTCGTGTGGCATCGTCGGCAACATTCAACGACGAAGGCAACCATCTCCACTGTAATGGGTTTGTGTTAGAAATGATTTCGGCGATTCTACCAGCGACGAATTGTTTGTATTCTCTAGTCGTCGAGCGGATCCAGAGCAATACTGTCTTTGAGTCACTCCACAATACGATGCGATGTATATTGAAGTCGTGGTATTCCACAACTGACTTCTGAAGATGGCTGCCAAGAACTGCGGCTTGCAGTTCCAAGCGGGGAATTGTCATGCCATTAAGCGGAGCACAACGCGATTTAGCGGCGACAAATGCGATATCAACGTCTTCCCCTTTGCATATGCGCAGATACGCGACGGCTGCATATGCACTAGAACTGGCTTCCACGAACACATGTAACTGCACCTCGTCTGCTACTGGCAGCGTTGTAGAATGGCATCTTGGGATGCAAAGTTTGGTTACATTTTGAAAACTTGTCCACCATGATGTCCACTGCACAACGAGTTGGTTCGGGATTGGTTCATCGACTTGACGCTTTCACAAAGACTGCAGCAGAATCTTCATACATACTGTGACATTAGCTAAAAACCCGAGTGGATCGTATATATCCATCACGATCCCTAAGAGTTCGCGCTTTGTTGGCGGCCTTATGCAATCAAGAACATCACGTGCGATCTT